CTCTTTCTCTCTCTGGAGACATGGTCTCTCTACATAGCCTTGGCTGTCCTGGAGTGCTGGGATTAAAGGCATGTGCCATCATGATACCTGGTATTAGTGAATATATTTGATTACTTTTTACTTTTATTACTGGTTGAAGTTACAACTTGTGCACAGTATTATATCAAATCCCTCAGAACTCTGTCAGAGTTTGGAGTTTGTTTATTTTTTTAAAGAAATTCCCATCACTGTCTTCAGTCACACCAGAAGAGGGCATCGGATCCCATTACAGATGGTTGTGAGCCACCATGTAGTTGCTGGGAACTGAACTCAGGACCTCTAGAAGAGCAATCAGTGCTCTTAACCGCCGAGCCGTCTCTTTAGCAAGTTTGGAGTTCTAGGATTTGGGAATATTTGACAGTTTCCCTGGGCCGGATATCTACAATGGTACTCTGAAGAGTCTCTATTGGGGAGCATTTGAGAAATTTGGATTAAGGTCAGGCAACCTACATCATTACAGTGAAATTTGGTTGTTTTTAAACGTTTTAACTCTGGACCTAGAACATTTAATATTCTATTTGGGGCTCACATTGTGTTTCTGATGGACACATGAGTCTTTAGGTTGGAGCCCTTGTTAATATTTTTTTACTTTCTTTTACTTTATTCATGGTTACGTGAATGTGTGTCAGCAGACATGCCCTGGGTATGCATGCATGTGGAGATTGGAAGACAATCTGCAAGAATCATTCCCTTTCTATCCTCCAGGGAACGAACTCATCTCTTCAGACTTGCCTGTCTGTACTCAGAGAATCGTCTCACCAGCCCGGGAGACACAATGTTTTCTGTTTGTTTTTTTATTAAGATTTATTTTATTGTCTCACTACCAGGGCGGGGTCTGGTGCAGAGGCCGAGGAGGACACAAACAGTACCCTAAACCTCAAAAACCTCGGTGCTGCAAGAATGTGACTCTCTTAGGTGGCACATTTGGCACAGGGTGAAGGAGGGGTCAATTTAGGCCACACCCCTCCCATTGCCCGGTTCCGGTGGCGTCACTCCCCTACCCCCACCTTAATTGTAGCTCCGCCCATGCTCCCAGCAGGATTTCTGCCCTACACAATCCCTCCTTCTCTGTCCTCGCTACCTGCACTGCACATTGAAGCCACGCCCCTGACCTAGCCCCTCCCCTCTCAGCACTCAGGCCCCGCCTCTACAGCCCAGAAGCCCCGCCCCTCCCGCACTGGTTTCTCCCACAAATGTCAAGTCTCCTTCCGACCTCTCCCCGCTTTGGTGAATGGAGTCCCAGCCGATTCTACCTTTCTCCTTGTTGAGCCAGCGGATGAAGCGGCCATAGCTGTGGGGCTTGAGCAGCAGTTCTTTGAGGAACTGCCACAGGTGGATGGGCTGCCCGGAGCACGACGAATCCACCTCACCATCCGTCCAGCCTTCCTCGCTGGTGGAGGCTGGAAGCCAGGGCGGGCAGGGTGAGTGGCAGCTGCGACCACGCTCTTCTCAGGGCTTCCTCCCTCAGCCCCACCAGGCCTTCCTGCGCCGGCCCTACTCACCGCAGTAGTGAAGGGCCCCAGGCGAGGTCCTCTCCTTCATCCAGGCCGCTGTGGAACAAGGAGGGGGGGGTTGGTGACCCAGCAGGGGCCGCCACCCACAGCTGGGGAGGTAGAAATGTAAGGGGCTTCCCGTTCCTCACTGTGAAATAAGGCTAGGACATCCCTTGAAGCTGTGGACTGACAGTCACATCAGGGCTCCAACTGCCCACTACTTCTGCCCACCCCTAAGCCATCAGCCAAGGACAGAGAGCCCTTCTGCTCACATTATAACCACTGGCACCTGACAGCGACCACTCACAGAGTCACCTGAGTACGTCCTGTCTCCTGTTCATCCCAGCCCTCTAAGGGAAGGGGCCTCGATCCAAGGAACAAGCACGGAATCATCCAAAATTCCAGAAAGGAAAAAACAAACAAAACAAAACAAAAACCCGAAACCAGCAGCAGCAGCAGCAGCAGCAACAAAAGACAGGCAACAGTGCTGGGTATGTGTAAAGCAAAGTGGTGCCAGGACTCATGTGCGGAAGTCAGGACAATTTGCGAGAGTCCCGTCTCTCCTATCATGCCGGTCCCAGGGATTGAACTCCTGTTGTCAGACTTGGAGGCGAGCGCCTTTATCCACTGACCCACCCTGACAGCCTTCATTATAAACAATAAAGCTAACCTGAAAAAGGGTTTTCCCTTTAAAAAGAAAATAAGAGATAGCCATTCATGGTGACACATGCCTGCCGTGTCGTGCCAGCACTCAGGGAGGCAGAGGCAGAGAGACTGATGCAAATCCGAGGCTAGCCCGGTTTACATAATGGCCTGGAACAGGGAGGGACTCAGCCTGTGCTGTCTCGTGTCTCACCTGACTTCCAGATGTCCAGGTGGGCATGCAGTACATCCCCACCCAAGGGTGCGCGCTGGCGGAACTGCTCCTCAGACATGGCGCACAGCTCTTTGCCGCCCAGCTCCTGAAAAGCCTTGCCTGCTGGAGGCAGCCGGTACTGGTGTTCTGTCCATAGAAGCCACTTCTGCACGTTACCAGGGCTCCAGTCCCCAGGATCTGGGCAAGAGACATCATCCTAGCTCAGGACTGCTGGTGGGCACTGCCCCAAAGGTCCATGGGATGGAACACCCATGAAGTTTTGTTGCCCAGGACCACATACCTAGAGCCTTGAGAAGCCCCATGAAGGCAGACACTCCACTAAAAAGGAAGTGAGAGGGAAAGACCCTAAACCAAGCTTGTTGCCTTGGTAACCCATCATATCTCAGTGTCTCTGTGGTCCCCTACAGGGCCTTTCTGGAGACCCCAGCTCTAAGAAGAACAGTTACATTCAGCCAGAAACATACACGCTTTGCCAGACACCTCTTGTCTTCCACAGTCTTCTCAAAGAGAAATCCCACCCAGGACTCCTCCGTCCTGGAATTTTAGAGTCGAAAAGACTAGAGTGTGCAGGGGGAGGGGTCCAGTGCTTGCCCAGTACTTAGAAAATAGCTAGATTCGTAGCAGCTGCCCCAAGTGGCTATGGGAAGGAAGTCACGGGCGATGTGTGCCCCTGGGAAAAAGCTCTCAGGGGAGCCTAGCAGGGCACACAGCTGGAACTAGACTGGGTCACAGTGGCAGTGTGGCCTTCAGGTGAATGCTGGTTCCAGCCAGTGTCCCAGCTTAGTGACCTGCAAGCTACCCTGTTCCCACTCCATAAAGCCGTTTTCTTTCCCTGAGGTCAATTCGATTTGTTTCTGTCCCCATTGTTTGGAGGGCATGCTCACGCTGGAGCTGGAGGAAGCGCCTCTTCCTCACGGGGGAAGAGGTCCCGTGGGAGAGCCTCCTGGAGTGTGGGAAAGTGGAGGAGAGGAGATGTGGACAGGAACAGCCTTGAATGGGGACACCACCTGGGAGCATCTAGCAGACTGGTGGGGGTGTGTGTGCAGGAGATGAGTGTGAGGGGCAAGAGAAGCCCCTCCTCCTCATGGGGGAGCTATAGAATGGAGGCCAGGACTCCCTGGTCCACAGTAGTTTCCCCTGAACCACTGACTCCATGATACACCCCAGACTAGGCACGCATGCGCACAGACACACACACACACACACACACACACACACACGAGTCTGTTCCTTGGTGTTCCCTCCTCATCTGTTGACGAGGGCCACATTCAGCTGCTTTTTGATGCCCCCATCGTCCCAGTTCCACACACAGAGGGGCCTCTACGTCCCGTTCATCACTTACTCTCCCAGTCCCTGCACAGGGAGGGCACCAAGCAGGTGAAGTCAGTCAGCGGTTGTTTGAGTATCTATCATGTCCAGTGTCATCTAGGCACTGGGGACATACAAGTCCTCTAGTGAGGTACAGACAGCAGGCTAGGAAGAAACTGAGCCCCTGACCTTCCGTTGACAGTCATATCATAAAAACAAGAAAAGGGGGGGAGGGGAGAGGGGAGCTGTGGGGGATGATCTCAGCAGAGGTCTCACGGAGATGCTGCCAGTTAAGGCCCTGAGAAGGCCAGAGAAAGGCTAAGTAGGTATCTATCTATGGGAAAGCATTCTAGGTTGCAGGACAAGCAGGTGTATAGGAAAAGCAGGGAGATCAAATGGTTAGAACAAAGTAAAGGAAAGGGGAACTGAGTCTCAGAGAAGGTGGGGGAACCAGACCGGAGCAGAACACTGAATGTTCCTTATCCACTAAATGAGGGTCCCGGGCAGGCATGGTTAAGCATACGCTCTGGCTTTAGCTGTTGTGTTGATCACTTGGTCTGCCCAAGGTGATCAGAGTCCATCCAGGAGATCTCCACCCTGCCTGTGTCCCCGGGCGGAGGTGGCAGGGATAATCTCACCTGCAGTGATGTTCAGTAGCTTGCATGCCGTCTCGATATCTTTCAGGACCTCGCCCACCACCATAGACTGCACCTGCTCTAGGGAGTGCTCATCCAGTGTGCTCCCAGAGGCCTGGCTGTCGATGACCGGACACTGCTCAGGCTCCTCCGGGTGGTCCTCCCTGGCACTGGCCTCGGGGACTTTGGCGACCCAGCTGCCATCCTCGGGGTACATGTTGAAGTAGGAGAGGTAGAAGGCAGACAGGCCCTGCTCCGGGGTGGCGGGTGGACTAGGACTCCATTCCTGCTTCTCGGGGCCCATTGCTCCTGACGCTGCCTTCTCCACTCCTGTCCGAAGTGCCACATCTGGGGACAGCAGCAGGCAACTGGGGGACACATTGCTCAGGCCTGGGCTGGCGCTGCCCATGCTGTGGCGGAGGCTTGTGGCTGCTTCTGCAGAAATCAGAGAAGAAGGAAAATAGGCCTGATGGCTGTCCGTGCTCTGTGGGGGACCACTAAGCTGGTTATAGAACGGGGGCTCAGGAGGCAGCAGGCTGGAGAGAGGCCAGGGGGCTTCTGGGTCACTGGGCAGTGAGTATGGGCCTGACTAGAAAAGACAATGAGGTAAAACGTGTGGGCAAGAAGGGGCATGGGCAGGTGGCGCACATTTTCTTTGAAGGTCTTAGGTAGCACTGGCTGACCTGAACTACATGGTCCTCCTTGCCTCCTGCAATTCCCAGGTGCTGGACTCATTTCTGGTTACCCTGTAGGACCCACCTTGTAGCTGGCTTTTGCCACATGGGTAGGTACGGCAAAGGAAAAGGCCTAGTCTGGAAAAACCAGACTTGGGTTTCTTCAAGGACTACAGCTAACCTGTTGGAAGATGCCCTATCATTCAGGAAACAGCTTCCTGTTCTCTGGGACTAGCAAACCTTGATAGAGTTGAGGTGGATTTCGGCTGTCCCCACCCCCTCCTTGCTCAGTGTGCGCACACGCACACGCACACACATACACACACACACACACACACACACCGCTTGCTCAGTGCCCACCTCCCTTTTCTCAGTGCCCAACTTTTCCCACCACCACCCCAGCACTGCCCAGCAGGCCCTGCAGGAGAGAGAAAGCCAACAAGGGAGGTGTTGTCTCTGGGTCCAGCTTTTCCTTTCAAAGAACTCTTGAAGCAACAAGGAAGAATAGGTTTGGGTGGGTGGGGTGGACAGGGGTCGGGGTTGGGTCTGGATTAATTTCAAGTCCTTCTGTGCAAGTGTGTGTGTGTGTGTGTGTGTGAGACGGGCCCTTGGTATTTACCAAGGCAGTGTCCATAGCCTGCTCTGTGAGTCCCCACCCTGCCCTGTGCCCACACCCTATGACCCAGGTGGTGGCCCCACCCGAGGAGAGCCTCCCCCAGTCCCCATCCCTTCTCCTTTACTCCACAATGGCCTCCTGCCCCATCCACATCCCCAGCGGCCCCATGCCTGCCACGTTAGGACAGTCTCTGCCAGCTCCCTGGGCCCTGTGCCCAGCCGCTAGCTTTTCCAAGAGGCAGGAGGACTTGATTCCTTGTAGCCTTATGTTTGCCTGGCCTCAGCCACAGGTGGGAGGGCAGATGGGTGCTGGGGTCCAGGCAATGTTGCAAGAGGGGCCAGCTTTGCCAGTGCTGGCCCAGGTACTGTATAATACCACATCCATACTGCGTCTGCTGAGTGGGCTTCACAGCCCTGGCATCCATGCCCTCCCTAGGGAAGGCAGCCTGAACTTTCTTATCCATATTTTACCGATGGGGTAGTCAAGATGCAACGAAGTCCTCCTTAGCAGAGACTCCTGTTCCCCTTCCCAGCTCCACTCACTCTGTTTCCCAATGCCCAGGGCTCCCCTGACTGAATAACTATGCAGCAGACAGAAAGGCAGGTCCCTGATGCCTGGGCTTATGGCTGGGGGCCCTGGCTGCACCTTTGGTATCTCATGGCAGCATCTGGACTGGGGAGGGAGAAGAGGGTGTCACAGAGAATGCAGACTCTGTCATGCCAGGATGCCCACACATACACCGTGCTGGATGGTCATGTCAAGCTGACACAAGCTGAAGTCATCTTAGAGGAGGGAATCTCATCTGAGAAAAGGCAAGCCTGTAACCTGTAGAGGCTTTTTTGTTTTGGTCTTTCAAGACAGGGTTTCTCTGTGTAACAGTCCTGCCTGTCTTAGAACTCTCTTTGTAGACCAGGATGGCTTCAAACTCACAGAGATCTGTCTCCGTCTGCCTCCTGAGTGCTGGGACTAAAGGCGTGTGCCGCCACCACACTTGGCTGGGTATTTTCTGAATTGGTGATTGATGGGGGAAGGCCAATCTGATTGGGGGTGGTGGTATCTCTGGGCTAGTAGTCTTGGGTTCTATAAGAAAGCAGGCTGAGCAAACTATGAAGAATAAACCAGTAAGCAGCACCCTTCCACGGCCTCTGCCTCAGCTCCTGCCTTTGGGTTCCTGCCCTGTGCGAGTTCGTGTTCTGACTTCCTTTGATGAACAGCGGTATGGAACTGTAAGCCAAATAAACCCTCTCCTCCCCAGGTTGCTTTGGTCATGGTGTTTCATCATAGCAGTAATAACCCTAGCTATGACAGCTACCCACGGCCTGGGCTACAAGGACTCAAGGGTCTCATCTCATGGATGCAGACGCCCAGGCTCAGGAGACTGTAACCTGGCTGTGTGTGGACTCCACTCCTTGGGCTGCAGTCTTGTTAAGGAACCTTCCTCCTTCCAGGTGTCTTGTCCACCTCATGACTGGGTCCCTTCATCTTCCGAGGTTCATCTTCTGCTCCTGGCTGCTCACCCCTCCCCACTACCAAGTTCATCTCCTCCCAACAACCTTTTACCCGACCCCTCTGCTCAAGAACCTGGCATGCGTGGCTCCCACTGCCTGCCTTGCTCTGTGGGCTGGGATGTGGCTCAGTTGGTAGTGTTTGTTCAGCATGCACATACACAGAGCCCTGGGTTCCATCCCCGGTCCTACACAGGAGCTGTGTGATTAGTCGCAGGGTTTGGACCAGAACCACCAGTCGGCATGGCCTCTTCGTATCCAGGTTCTGATAAAGCTGGCCTTTCTTGCCTTGTTCCTTGCAGAAGGGCATAATCATGGCTTTTCCCCAGGTCTTTTTTTCCCAAGATGTCTTTCTCTCTCATCCCAGGCTCCCTAAGCCCCACCCCCAAGGAGCCCTTCTGATGTCTCCCTTTCTGATGACCGACCGGTGACTGGCAGTTTAGTCTGTGACTTCATCCTCAAAAAGCTATCTGCCAGGAGGTCTATGGGGACCCAGGGGTCTATGGGTAAGCTTGGGGAGTGGCTGGGAGGGACCCAGAGATGAACTGAAGAACCAGGACCTAACTAGAGATCTCCTGACATCAGTCATTGCTCTGCAGACAGCCTAAGGTCTGTAAGAGTCTGGCATGTTGGACACAGGCCACCATCCCCGTCTCTCTCCACTACCCAAGGGCTGCAGTCTCCTGAGTGACGCCTGTGTTCTCCAAACTTCGAGCTGATCTCAGGGGTAAAGCCACGTGTCCGGATTAAGGCTCAGTGGGGTCTGTCTTGCTCTTGCCCCAGAAGCCCCGGTTACCTCTCCAGACAAAAGAAGGCTTGGTAACAGCTGGTGCAGGCAGAGGTGGGAGGCAGAGCCACAACAGAGGGTTAGTGGATAGGGCTCCATAGCTTGGAATCTATTTCTCAGTCCCTCCTGGCCCCCAGGAAGGTAAGTGAGCAGAGGGCACAGAGGGACCAATGGTGGAGACTGGGTGTAGCTGTTTCTTGGTACCCCATTTCCTTCGGGGCCACCTTTGCCTCCTGTGTCTTCTGTTTACACCCTGCACTTCATCCTCAGGGAGTGAAGTTGCCCGGGAGGCCCTCATGGAACATCTGGCAGCCATGTGTTGTGAGCCCTGTCCTCCATATCCTGTGGGGCTCCTTTTTCCAGACCCTCCTTGGGATAGTGGGGTAGCATGTAAGTGCCTTAGCCTCTGTCCCCCATCCTGAGACCTAGACTCCAGGACCCAGCTTCAGACCCAGCAGAAGGTAGCACTGGAGGACATCAAGTGTGGGAGGGTGACAGAGTCAGCTACTGTAAGCCCCCCACCCCCGCCAGCCTCCCGGGGATTCACAACAAAGAGATCTGACCTTGGCTGTTGGCTAGTCCCAAGGTCTCCCAACCTCTGCACCCCTTAAATAGGCTAGAGACAGAGTATGAGGCAAGACTAGACCTGGTGAAGAGCCCCGCAAGAATGGGTCGGTCCTTTCCACCTGCACCCCAATACCCACCACCTTGGTCAGCACCTTGGAGAGAGCCAGGCCAGTGTAGTTAATAGGGAGCCCCAAGGTTATCACTTTCTTGTATCTCTCTGCTTTTTTGGCCCTGCCTTCCTGGGATCCAGCAGTCTCACCCTTCACATCAGTCCTTCAGGAGAACTGGACTCAGGCCTCCTCAGTGCAGTGCCCAGAGTCCCGGACTCACTCCACAAACAACCATCCACTACCCCAGTGTAGTCTGCGATTGGCTTGGGCTACACGGGACCTTGTCTTTAAAAAAAAATGGGAGAAAAGTGGGGTGAGTGGAGAGACACAGCTGAGTGTCTCCAATTGTCCCTGAAATTTGTGTCCACAGGTTCTGAAAGGCTCCCCCCTCTGACAGCAGTTACTGCCAGCAATCCCCCAGCCCCCGTGAGCCTGGGGGTTTAAGAGAGTCCATGAGCCATGTAATCAAGTTTAATTTTGCCTGGCTGTCCAGAAACTGCAGTTTACATATTCACTTGCCCTCCCCCTTGTGTGAGCCCACCCCCGCCCTGGGAAGCCCCTTTATTCAGGGGACTCTTGGGGTCCGTGTAACCACACTCCCTGTTTAGCAGGCACCGCCCACATCTGAACTCACAGATGCAGGATACAGCAGCTTCTCACTGTCCAGGGAGCCTAGGACGGGAGGAATGAGGAGGCGGGGACTCAAGACCCATTCCCAGACAGGAAGTGCCTGTAGGGATGTGCGCTCACATGGGGCCTGAGGGCGGGTCTCTTGCTGCCTGTGAGAATAGACTCAATCCTGACCTCTGTCACAGCCTCAGCCTGAACCCCAGCTAGGAAGTCCCTTTGCCACATCTTAGCCCTGGGTGGAGGAGCTCGGGGTGCCTCCAATCTGGAAGAACCCAGGGGATGTGGGGGGAGTCTCATTGGCTTTTTTTTTCTGTGTTGGGGGAGGGCCTTGTCCCAGGGTCCCTTGAAGGATGCTGGTGAGGTCGCTGGCTGTCCAGGAGTGATCAGAAAGTACGGTGAGACAGGTGTAGCGGGTGGTTGGAGCCCAGAGCGTTAAATGTCAGCAAGGGCCCAGGGCGATGGAGCCAGCAGGGTTTGCTTTGAGAAGAGCTGCTCTACCTGCTCCGCTGCTGCCTGTGGG